TTAAGGATTTGTTCTTGACTTTACAGCTTTGTTCTTGACTTACAGATTTGTTCTTGACTTTAAAGATCTGTTCTTGACTTTACAGATTTCTTCTTGACTTTACAGATTTCTTCTTGACTTTACAGATTTCTTCTTGACTTTAAGGATTTGTGTCTCGAATTTAAAGATTTGTGTTTTATTTTAAAGGTTTGTTCTGAACCTTTCAAAAATAAATTTTCGGTTAAGGTTTTAAGAAAAGCAAAAAAAAACTATCATAGATTTGTTAATAATCTTAAAGATTTGTGTTTCGAATTTAAAAGCGTTTCTTTTAAGATTTGTTCCGAAAATTTTAGAAATGAGTTTTTGGTAAAGGTTTGTGTTAAATTTAAATCATTAAAATATGTGTTTAACTTTTGAACATTAAAGAATGGGAAGAAAGTGCGGCTTTATGTGTGCACATAAAGCCGCACTTTCTTCCCATTCTTTAATGTTTTTTATTTTTATTTTTATTTTATTTTTAGAAACCTGCACATAAAGTATATATACTAATTTGTGCAGCTTTCTAAAAATCAACTAATATATGAAATTATCGATGCAAAATGGGTAAACAAAATTATGTGAAGGCAAACTGTATTTGAACATTTTATAACGTAAACTTTTTAACTGAATGGGTATATTGGCACAAACTGTACTGTACTGTGAACCTAACCATGTACAGAACGGAAGTTGGTGTACAGGTAGTTAATGAGAATTCAAGATTTATTAGGTTCGATCACCAATGCTGAGAGCACCTAACCTAACATAATTAGATCAAAAACTAGTAATCCCACGCCCAGTAGTATACAACTATATTTATTTATACATCAGATGGTATTATTTTGTTTAAAAGAAATTGAACAAAGGAAGCTCTGAGAAGATGGATGGGATGTAGGAATTAAGGGGGTCTATGGTGCCGTCTAGAAGGGGAATTAAAGGAAAAAGGTGGGAAGTGGTTTTCATAAAATAGTCAAATTACCTGAATATACAACCTGTGAAAACTAGAGATTACACCAGGCTAGGTGTCCGGAAAACGATATTTCTCATCTAGAATGATAAACCCGGACTCATAAACCCGATATTAAAGTGTAAAAACAGGACAATACGTCTTAGTAACCAGGCTCTATATCATTAACCAATCATAAATCTTTAAACTTCGTTTTCTGTTTTAAATCAAAATCTGATTTATTGTAATTCAACATTTAGATATGCATATTTTAAAAATTACTCATTAAAAACGTTACAAGATTAAATATATGAACATACTGATATTTAAAAAACATAAGAATTGTTAAATTTTAACATCTGGGACTGTAATAGGTTTATTAATTATTAAATTTCGTAACTGTGTAAAATATTTCTCTATTATATAAACGAAAAGAAAACTCTATAATTAATTTCTGTAAACTGTAATCGATTCCAAAGACAACTAAACAAAAGAAAAAATATTCTTTAAATCCAAAAATATATCTTAACCCAATAAAATAATATTTTCAGCAATTGTTTTCTTATTAATTTTAATAAAAACGTGTGCTCAATTTTAGTTAGTACAAAATATTCATTTATCTCATTACCCCTCATACACTCGCATCCCCCTACTTAAAACAGTGCAGTGCTCGGCCCTATATTGTATCACAGATGACTGAAATTCTAAAAATTTGCTCGAGGATAAAATATAATTTTTCTTTTTCTTGTTTAACTTATCTTCTAATTATGTATACTCGTCATTTGAACAATCGTGTCGAGGTAAAACCGAGGAATTCGAATTTACAAAATTTAGCCTTTTCAGTTAGATTAATGTTGTTTCACATTGACTTCCCCTCCCCCCCCCCATGTTTTCCCCCTTTAATCCCTCCCCTCGTTTCCTCTCCATCTGTTTTTACTGGATTCCAATCTGAAAATGCGGGAAGGATATTTTGGTATATTTGGCCGCAAAAATCCAACAATCAACTCCTTTTGTTACATGGAGACAACTAACGAGTAGCTGTTGAACAGGTTTTACCAAACTAACCCAATTTTAACAAATTCGATCAAGCGGATAGTTAATCAAGTAAATTTATTTAGTTAAAAAAAAGGAATTACAGCCAGAATCTAATTTTTCCAGGGAAAAAAATTAAATGGAGATCCCAAACAATCTTGCAACAAATTCTATTATTATATATTCTATTGGAGAAATTCAAAACTTGTTTTTCCTTTAGCACTCAACGGAAAAAAAGATTTGTCATGTAAGAAATCAATCTAACGTAAAAAATTCATTTCATTTTGACGAGTTCTTTTCTTTTAAATGTTTTCTGATTTTTTTCGTCTCAAAAAATCCAGGACTTGTTTGAAGTGAAGCCTGCAGAGAATTGAACTTATTAATCTAACCTTGAAAATTCTCAAGTATTTGCAAGCTTTGTTTTAACTACTAGTCATGTATAACATATCATTCAGAGTATTAACACATACATTTCAAAATTGCACGAATAGGAGACAAAACCCTTACTCCCCCCCCCCCTACTCCCTCCATTACTACTGTTTGTTTCCCAAAAATGTTCATGGCATCGCAATTAATAAATCAAATAAATTTTGACGTCAAGAACGTCATTTAAAGAGGAAAGAAGAGTGGGGGGGGGGGCGGGGAGATATTTAAGGATTAGTTCTGGTTTTGTAGTTTGGTCTGCTGAACAACTGTTCAAATTTTCCGCAAATATATATATTTTTTTTTAGGAACCATGCTTTCAAAGCTAAATGCCGGAATTTTGTCCTGCTTTAGGGTAATAACGATTTCCTAAAGTGTGTTAGATTTTTTTTTCAAAATTTTAATCCTTATTTTACGCTTTTTCAATTGAACATATGTTTTATGAAAATCTAAATCAAAAAGTTTATTGTTTTAAATTTGTTAAACATATAAAATGAAAGTTAAAGGGATAATAGACGAAAGCAACTACCGCACTTCTGATTCAGAAGCAATAAGGAGGAAATCGTCAGAATGAAACAGTTTCCTAGCATTATTGATAAGATTAAGCTTTTAAGGACACCACTGAAAGGTAACTTGAAATTACAAGAACAGTCCCTTTAAACTCAAATTTACAGATTAACAAAAAAAAAATCTAATTCTTAATCCTTTATTTACCTAACAATCTAACTGCATGAAGATTAAAACAATTGAACCTGAATTGATATCAAACATCAATACATTTGAAGAGGGCTTATATATAGATACGTTGTCGAGAGAATTTATCTATTTAATCTTTGTTCAAAAGGGGTGAGGGAGGGAGATGGGAAAGGAGAGGGGGGAGGGAGGAAGATGGGAAAGGAGAGGGGGGGAGGTGAGGGGGTTCTGTCCAATACATTGAAAGGAGTGAATAGTGTGCTATGTTAGGATTTTTTCTCATTGATTCCGAAAAGCTAGCTCTATCACAACAAAAAGAATAGATTGTAATCTGTATCTATCTATCTTTAAACCTCTATCTATCTATCTATCTATCTATCCATCTGAAGCAAGGATTAGTATAGGATTAGATGGATTATATATTGTGCGGGGAGGTGGATGTATTCATTGTTATGCAATCATTCTAAATCCTGATATGTTTATCAATCTATATACTTTTCAATACTATTGGGGGACAGATATATTTGAGGTAACTCTTCCTATTTTTATATAATTTATATATATATATTATGTAATAAATCCAGCACATCTGTACACATTGCATATATATATATATATATATTAACGATAATGGTTCATCTAACTTTAACGTTCATTAGAATAACTATTGCTTCTCTTATACTTAAAACTGGAGATGTTTTAGGGGCAAAGGTTATTTTCGATATAACCAAGTTTCAAATGAATTGATAAATGATATTGAGCTGGTTTCTCACTTTTATGCAAAATTATTTCTAATAAAACATATCTTATCTTGGTTTAATTTTAAACGCCGAGAAATGATTTTGATTTCCATTAAATTCTCCTTTTTCCAATTTTTTATGTCTGACCTCCGTCCATTTAAACATGTGTATCTATTACAAAACATATTGAAAGATGAAACCGATAATATTGATTTAGGTATATCAGACTATCTATCTATCTCTCTATCAGTAAATATTTAGCAAATACCGCATACGGTCGATAACTATTAAAAAAACAAATTGCTCAAATATGTCAGCTGTGATCAGCTTGCTGTTTTCTTAATTCTATTTTAAAGGGAAGCCATTATAAAATAATAATAATGCCTGATGGTGTCAACCTACAAAAAATGTGATTTTATCTATAGCTCTAATAAAAAAAATCAAACCCACCGTGCAAAAATCTATTTGATTTAGACATTTTACCCAAAGTGACGAACACTATTTCAATTTTATACATTTAACCCACAGTGTCCAATACTATTTCAATTTTAGACATTGAACTCACAGCTCAGTGCCAATCACATTTTCAATTTTAGACATTCAACCCAAAGTGACGAACACTATTTCAATTTTAGACATTTAACCCACAGTGTCCAATACTATTTCAATTTTAGACATTGAACCCACAGTGCCAATCACATTTTCAATTTTAGACATTCAACCCACAGTGTCCAATACTATTTCAATTTTAGACATTTAACCCACAGTGCCAACCACTATTTAAATTTTAGACATTCAACCCACAGTGCCAACCACTATTTAAATTTTAGACATTCAACCCACAGTGCCAACCACTATTTAAATTTTAGACATTCAACCAAGAGTGCCAAATGAAAATAGTATGTTTGCTGAGATTGAATCCTTGTCTTAAGTTAAATATTCAAAACCAATATTGATACCAATCCTACATATTCCATATTCAACGCAAATATGAATATATATAATATATACAGTAACAATATATACAATATGTGTGCACTGTAAACTCTGTATATCTACACTATGAAGACATGTAAATAAATAGAGAAGTTCTCGCTGATAATTAAAATATTAAAATTTAAATATCTTTCACTTAAACAGTTAAAACATGATTTAAACTAATAGAGATATATTTGACGAACATAGTTAGATATTTACAAAGATATATGATTAATGACTTTTAAACTGAATGTATAAAAAGTTGGGCGGCGTACACCGCGTCAATATCACTGTGAAACAAGCATTTAACGATGTGATACATCGTGAGGGGTTTTATAATCGCTTTCAAAGGATGAATTCGAAGTGTCAATATGCTTTAAGTTTAATGGTTCGTAGTATGATGGTTTGAGTATGTTCACGGATGGTTTTAGAATAGTATTTGACGCATAATGGTTGGATCCGCTGTACTGGTACTGCTGCTGCTGTTGTTGTTGCTGGTGAACAGAGGGGATTGCGTAGTCGTACGCACTCTGTAGCAGACGATTTTGAGATCGGAATGATGTTGTTGGACTGTGTTCATCCCAACGACGATCCCAACTTACGTTCCGTCCGTATTCCGAGCAGGTTGGCGGAATATGACGATTTCGCATTTTCTTGGTTTTATAGCAGAGCAGAGCTGCAGCCATTACAATGGTGAGAGTGACTACAATAACTATAGCCATCGCAATAGCCCATATTTTGATTGGTATTTCTTCCGTATTGTTTACTAAGACGACCTCGTGGGTTTTATAACGGAGTTGGCGGGGAGCACTGTAGCTCCCAGTAATATCTCCGTACACACCGGCCACACGTACACTGTACACTAGACTGGGGTCCAGGCTGTGCAGTTTTACTTGGGAAACATCGTCTTCAACAGTTATGTTCGTTACCTCCTCAGTATTAGCGGTTAGACGTACAGTGTACGCTGTAACATCTTTCAAAGGTAACCAGTGTACCAACCCTGTAACCGAGTCCAGCATAAAGCTTTCGGAAATCTCGGGGATTTCTGGAACTACTTTCCGTTCGATCACTACTGCTCGTCGCGCTACCTTCACACTGATCGGAGAATCGCGGCGGGTTGTGTCGGCGTTGCTCGCCAAGCAAACATAACTTCCGGTATCCTCTACGCCTGCCTCGGCGATTAGAAGATCGCCGCTTTCTTCAATGACAAAATAATCGTCAGAGACTAAAGTCATACCGTCCTTCTCCCAGTATATCTTAGGAGGAGGACTACCCTCGGGTGGACTACAGGATATGCGCAAAATATCTCCCTCTCTTGATATAATACTACGCGACACTTCTCCGAACTTACTTTTCAAATCTGAAAAAAATATGTTGATTTACGAGTAATTTTAGCAAAAAAGTAAATTGTGTGAATACAAGAGTAAATTACACGTATTTCAAATAAATGAGAAAATTATGATAATCATCTGCTAGAACGGGGTGAAAATATTAGGTTATTTTGAATAATTTTCATATTTATTAAATGCAGTGAAGAAGGTATGAAACGGTTATCAGTATAATCTTACATGTAACTTCTAGTCTAGATCTCCTACTGTCTACCCATCCATCCCTGTTCTCAGCTCTACAGTGATACATACCACTATCCCGGGCCTAAATAATTGTAATTATCAATATTTAATTGTGGTTATTCAACGAAAGAGTTAAAAAACTATTCACAATATAGGACACTTTTAAAGTTTTGTCTTTTCAATAATCAAATATCGGCTTTAAACATTTTAAATATAAAACAAAGATATCTCCATCATTGTGTGCTTGTATTAATTTGTGCTCTTGTTTAGTATTCAATATTGATGAAGCTCTGCTCTATTCAAATATATGGAGATAATAATGATAATGAGAACAATAAAAATTAAGATAAAATAGATAATACTACTACTACTAATGTACCTTTAGGTTCTCTACTGTTCTGAGAAAGAAGAGTGCTCCTCCTGGTAGAAGAACAACATGATCTCCTCCATCCTCAAGGTTCAACAGTACTCCGTCCTTATACCAGGATATCAGGGGCTCCGGGTCCCCCCGGGCACCACAGCTAAGGGTAGCAGGAGCACCCCTGCTTACAGTTTGGTCACTAGGGCTCTCTGTGATTACTGGCGGAGACCCTAAAAATAAAACGCTGTTTATTTTTGTTTAATTATCAGACTCGGTTCTGATTCTAACTTTATTTTGTAAAAAGTAACCCAAGCGGTAAGTTTTCTACAGTTGAACTAGTATTTTATTCATAAAACATAATGTTAGAAAAGGGTTCTTGCCAGTAAAAATATGTTTAATTGTATGCGTGCACAGTTTTCCTGAGGATACACCCAGATACTGGTAGGAGTAGGGTGGACAGGAGCAGGGGGAGGGAGTACAGGCAGGTGGTGAAGTGAAACAGGGAGTAGTAGAAATATGACAAGGAGTAGGAGAGGAGTAACAAGGAAATTATTAAGCCAGAAACAGGAAAAGCTTAAGATAACAGAAAAGGATTAAGCCCTTAAAAGGACAGGATTAAGCCCGAAACAGGACAGAAGTAAGCTCGAAACAGGACGGGCTCAAGCCCGAAACTCGGAAACAGGACAGGATTAAGCTCGAACCAAGACAGGATTAAGCTTGAACCAGCCAGGACAGAATAGTCTCACAATTGTAGAATGAAATAAAATGCAAGAAAAGCCTTAAAACTATAGTCAGTATCAGTATACCCTGCTTGTTGAAAACGGTTAGAACGGATTGATAGAAACAATTGGATTTGACTGAAATATATCCGATATAACTTTTTTATGTTGACTAGATTCCAGATTGAGCAAGACATAAAAAAAGAAGGGAGAAGGATATTAAAAAGAAAGGGGGATAATCAAAACCGTTGAATCAGAGAGAAATAAAACAGAAAAAGAGCAAAAGTTTGAAGAGAAATTAAAACAAGATTTCTGGCAGAAAAATTAATCAATGTTGACATCTGAATAACCAAACACAGACTGAAAATTAATTGATGAAAAGGTTTGATAATTGGAAGCTAAAAAAGGAAAAAGAAGAAATTAAGAAAAATATTTTAGTGTAGAAGTAAAAAAAGAAGTTTCAATGATACAAAGTAGAAAGAGAAACGGGATACAACATGAAAGGATTTCTGACTAAAAATGATTTATATTCTGCAAGTGGATTTGATAGAAATATAAAATGAATATTGAATGATAGACTTCAAAAGAGAACTGATTCTGCCAAATTTCAAAATTATGGAGCTGCCAAAATAATATTCTTCTTTTCAAAACCATGAATCCTTGTAGTTCACATGAGAATCAATTTGTAAAACCAATATATAGAATTGATTTGTAATATCATGTAGCAAGTAAACACTAAACTTTTCCTATTGTTCTAAACCATATAAAAAGGGTAAACGCAATACAATACTGTAATTTGCAATACTCGGACTAGAAACCTTTAAAACAAAGATTTAAAGGAAACAGAAAACTAATGATTAATAAACTCACCTAAAACTGAAAAGGGAAGAAGAAGCAAACTATAAATAATCCGTTTCATTTTAACTTTATTAATATTAAATAGTTCAGCATATATTCATGCTACTTTGTTTCAGGGCATTCGTTCACACTCCTACTCTCAGTGCATGCGCTTCAAGACTGAGTCTTACCGCTGGCTAGTTACTGCGCGCACATACTAAACCGGGGGGTTGGATCTGCTTTCTACATTGTAAACTAATAAAACTGTGCATTGAACAATAATAATATACTTTATTAAGATCAATACAAGATTCCCGCAATTTTAAACATTTTTATGAGGTTTTTGACCAGGCAAGTCGAGGTTGCGTTATTTTTTATCCTATATGTGTATGTAAACCAAAAGATAAACATTAAACATATATTTATGGCCGGTTAGTAACATTTTTAATATGCTTTGAATTAGCCGATTCTTTTACCAATTGAAGTCCCCCAAACTCAAACCCCCTTTAACATTTCACGAAATCATGATAAAACTGGAATAAAATATTTATTATTTTATTATTTTTTTTATTGACGAAAAGTTTTTTATTGGAGTTACATGTCAAATTATGTTGTTCGGCAGTTTTTCTTTTTATTGTTTTATGATAATAAATTTTCAATAAAATATTTGAGTAGTGGAGTAAGCATGCAGAACATATGGAGAGTTGACTTAATTAGCCTGGTTTATTATAGAATTGTTACAAAAACTTCAACAATCGTTTCATCTTTTTACCAAACCAACGGAAATGCAGCTGTTCTGGTTCTACTCTACTCTTTCATACTAATGCAGTTGGAAATAGGTTTATAAAAAAGTAAAATTAATGCAAACTAGAAAAAAGTGGGTTCAGTGTATGAAATGTAAAAAACGAACAGCTTTCAGAGACCTGACTTCTTTGATCCGAGGGAATAAAATAAGTGAGTGTGGGGGGGGGGAGGATAACTTAAAAACTTCAAAATTTTATGCAAGATACTAATCATAATAATGCATTTCCGTCTCTTCCTAAAAAGGAAAACATTTATCTATATTTGTTAAGTTTGCGTTTATAAAATTATCAATTATCATTTCATATATTATCCATTATCCAAAAATACATTTCTGTTGTGAAGAAATAAATATAGTCTTTTAGAAGATTTTCACAATTGAATTTAGACATTTTACGATACAGTCAATCGAGACTAAACAAATCGTTCTAACGTTTCCAACATATATATATATATAATCATATGCTCAAAAACAATTTATGCAAAACTTTTGACTTAATTGAGTAAAAATTTATTTTATATTAATATCAAACGAAAAAGAACATTTTAGAAAATATATCTTTTGTTTTTCTTTCGTGTTACAAAGTGTAACTTTTAAAATAAACTGCCGTCACAAAACCAAAATTTTAACATGATATTTCCCCAGGATCGATTATATTTGGTTAAAAGATTGGTACAGTTTTCGTGCTTTAACAGACTACATTCAAAATTTGGAAAATTCGATGCTATGAAATAAAGATGCAAACTGTTAAATAATACATTAAAGTAGACAGTTAAGAAACAAAGTAATCTTCATATGCTCTTGTCATAACATCACAATTGAACTATACAGAAATGATTACCTACAATTACAAAGAATGAGACCGCGTAAAGACAATATAAAACTCTTAAAATATAACGATTTCAAAGTTATATTAAGTTGTCCGTATTGAGTATACTCTTTAAATGGATTATATAATGAGTTGGCAAAGAAAGAATCAAGTTTACTGTTGAACCATGAATACAAGAAAGCAGACAGTATAAATTCCGTACAGTCATCTCTGAAAGAATGTTAGCACCCTGTATACCTGCAGTGTATATATAGTGAAGTATATCTATACTTTGCTTGTCATGGTGTCTGTTTGTATGTTTGTGTCCAATAAACGTGAAAACGGATGAACTGATCAGGACCAAATTTTTTGTAAGACCTCGCTTGACCCCAAGGATGGTTTATGGATGATAAAATTTTCAAAATTTGCCTCAAACAAAATTCGTTTTGAATTTTTTGAAAATCCACGATTTTTTATTATATTATCCGCACAATTTTAGTTTTGTCTTTGTTTTACATTGTATAGAAAGAGAACATGTTCACAATTGAAATAGAAGATGGGCGCGAAGCACCGTAAAAGCCTAGTTTATGTTTATTGTATTGGTAACAACTCAGTGACATAGAAATATATAAATATATACATGATACATATATCTCTATGTAGTTGTGAATATATATATATATTGTAACATCTCGGTGACACTGAAACCAGAGATATAAATTTCAAGACGAGCACGATACAATAGTTATAGAACAATTCTTTTATATGTTATACATAACTCATCTTGAAATACAGGGTTGCCCACAAGGAATTAAACTCTGATGAGAACCTCCAATAAAAACCATCATATTGCAGTGTTTATAAAGGAATTGAGTCTTTGGCAGAAACTTAAATGTTCTAATACAAACTTAGATTAGTTAATCTAACATGATATGATTTGAAATTTCTTTAAAGGTATATGACATTGGGTTGCAAATATATAGGAATTAGAGTTTGTAACAAAGACTCATATCAGTTTCTTGGGCTAATATAGTAAAAATATAATTTAAATATTATGCTCTCCCATATTCCTGATGCAGTAGAGGTTTGGTGAGTAGCTTAGTGCGTTGTTTTAACAGGGGCCATGCCGGGGGGGGGGGGGGGTTTAAGGATTAATTCCCCCCCCCCTTTAGTTATTAGCTCAATTTGCTACATATTCTTTCTCCTTTCTCCTCCATAAACACAGCATTATTCATAAATGTCACTAGAATCGGAGAATGGTGCAGTAGTTCCCTGTCTGAAAACTAGAATCGGAGAATGGTGCAGTAGTTCCCTGTCTGAAAACTGTGTAAATTTTGTATTTTCTATCTCATATCAGGGTTGCAGTTCATGTTTGCAAAGTGAATAACATACATTACGAAATCATCATGAATTATATGTTTTATCTCTATACCCATTTTCCAGAAGTTGAAATATCATATTTATCTAGTTCAATTTACACCTGGAGTTTTATAAGCAATAGGGTTTACCGTTGGTTCCGTTTTATTTTCATTCGGATTCTCTCTCAGACCATTCTTATCGGTATCATGTTCATGTCTCTGTAGCGGGGTTTCCAAAAAGAATTATAAATCCGTTTACCAAAGGGTTGATAAATCCTATACCAGTATATTTAATTTCAAACTGTTATTATTCACTAACTACTGAAAGAATTCCACCATACTTATAATCGACGGAAGGAAAAAATTCAAGTTTAAAGAAAAATGTAAAATCTTTCTCTGAAAACGTCAAAATTCAGGCGGTATTTCTCTCATCGGAAAGAAAACTGTTATCTCGTTATAATTTCCATTTAAACCTTCTTTCTTTTATTAAAGCATTCATAAGGAAGCTTTAAATCTTCTGAATGTTGCTATTCTTGTGATCAAGCATAGATTTCCATCTTATGCAGACCTTGGATTAACTTAATTTTTTTCATCCCGTCGTAGTCTTACCCTGCAGGGATAACTTAAATTGAGGGATCAATGATTTATCCTCAATTGGGGGGACCATCATTAAATATCGAGATCGAGCTAAAATCATAATTTAATACTAAGCACAGAGGGGTAAACAGTGAGAGAGGTATTATAATGATATAAACCTGGGTAGTACCGGCCTACTCAAGATAGTTATTGTTATTAACGATAATTCACACAAAAATCCGAGATAGACATAAAAAATTAAACATGGACGACAAACATTAAATACAATTCATCCCGAGAATATAACGAAAAGGATTTCTTTATAACTTATTTTTCCTTAAATTAGTTACAATAAAGAAAGCCTAGATTAATTCTACAGTTTTTTGGTCATCACTGTATTTCAGGAAATGAGTTGAAGAAAAGATTGTAAGCCTAGTTGGCAAGCTTGATATTATTCAAGAAGGTGTTTGTATATGCATACATGCACTCAGTTCTTCAGAACTTAGACCCAAATCATTGGAAATTATACCTTAGTTCAGACCAGTCTTCAATTCAAAGGAAAATTTCAAATGAATATTCAAGCGAGGTTTGGAATTGGATGAAGAAAGGGGGGGGGAGGTAAAATGCAATCAGAGGATGGAATGATAAGGGAATGATTCAAACATATAAAAGTGTACGAGGTAAAATAAAAAATGACTGTTTTTCGGGGCTTTTGGACCTGAGTATATTACACTTTTTGAAAAGAAAAACAAAACTGGGTTCTAAAATAAAAAAGAAAAGTGAAAAAGAACAACAACAAAAAAAACTATACACTACAACTTTTTATCATATTTTGGCCTTTCTGGGCCACCCTTTGATGTAGAATTTGAATAGAATTTTTTT